TCAAGGCACACAAATCACGAGCAGGCTGGTGTTCATGCCCAGAACCACTCCAGAGACTAAGGCAGGGAGGGAAAGCTCACATTTGAAGTCAGCCTGGGCTACTTAGTGAGTCTGGGGCCAGCTACAAAATAGAGCCTTGTCTCAAAAAGGAGGGTATGTGGAGAGATGGCTCAGTGGCTAAGGGCACTGGCTGCTCCTGCTGAAGACCCAGGTTCAGTTCCCAGCACCCACGTGATGACTAACAAGTGTATCTGTCTTGGGGATAAAATGCCCTCTTCGGGCCTCCCTGGGCACCAGATACATGGATGGTGCATACACGTATGTAGACAAAACACTCATAGACATAAAAACAGGGTGGGAGAGATGGCTCAGCTGTTAGGAGCACTTGTTGCTCCTGCAGAAGATCTGGGTTCAGTTCCCTGCACCCGCATGGTGGCTCCCACTATCTGTGGATCCATTTCCAAGAGTCAAATTCCCTCTTCTGGTGCCTCCAAGGGCAGCAGGCATGTATGAGTTACACACATGTATATGCAGGCAAGACACTCAAATGCATAAAATAAGAAAAATAAAATCTTTTAAAAATGTAAAAATAAACCCTTAAAAGCCACAAAGAAATAATATGAAATTCAGATTTCAGTATCTTGAAATAAAGTATTTTTTTTAGATAAAGTTTTATTGGAACACATCCAGGTTCATTTATTTGCATCTTTGGCTGCTTTCACACTACAATGGCAGACTTGAATATTTGCAAGAGAGACCATATGGCCAGGGAAGCCTAACATACTTACTGTGTGGCTTACAGAAGAAGTTTGCTGACCCCTGTTACAAACCAAGAGCACAGTAATTCAGTGATTTAGAGTAATATATTATGACAACTACACGGCCAATGGTGGCACACGCCTGCAGTCCTCAACACCCTATGCTTCAGTAGAACCCAAGGCTTCAAGGCCAGCCTGGGTAACACAAAGAGATCTTGTTTTGGAAACAACAAAAGAAGAGGAGATGGAATAGGAGGAGAGAGAGAACCCTAACCTTCAGTAGCTGCCCTTTTCCCTTTTATAAAGTTGTGACATGAACTAAGAGAGCTATATGTGTGGAGGGAATGGCCCTTCCTGAAATGCCTGGGACCAGAAGTGTTCCTTATCTCTTTAGACTTGGATACATGGATGCAGGGACTCCCAAACTCTGGTCCTCAAGTCTGTGCAGCTCTTTTAGCTACTGTGCCATTCCTCTGGTCTCTGTCTCTGAGCGCTGGGATTACAGGGATATACCACCATGCCCAGTAGCATGGGGCTGCTGGGGATCAAACCCAGGGCCTTGGGCAAGCTAGGCAAGCACTCTACCAACTGAGCTATACCCCCACTCTCTGCTGTATCTCTTTTGTTTCCTGTTTAGGCCCACAGACCCAGGATGCAGCTGGCGAGAATAGGGGGAAAGACCTCCAGGGTCTCATTTCACCTTTACAGTTCCCTATGAGAGAGGCACACACACACACACACACACACACACACACACCATCACCATCACCATCACCATCACCATCACCATCACCATGTAGCTGGTAGGAGTTGAGTCAGGAAGTCAGACTCAAATTGTGACTCCAGACATCTCATGACTGCCTCATCCTTCAACATTGGCTGGGCAGACTTGTGCCCTCCAAGGCCTCAGGCACGTCTCCTACCACAACATGGTCAGTAGTAGTCCCAGCCAACTGCCAGAGAAGGGTCCCTTTGCCAGGCCACTCCTCAGAAAGACATTCTCCTTTATTTGGGTGCTGGGTATATTCTCTGTCTCTGAATAAATCCTTAATTAGTTGCCCTGGTTGTATTTGCATAATGGATTTCACTTTGTTCTTAAGTTAATGGTGTTTTCGTAACAGAACAGTAACCTCTTGGTTCACAGCCATTAAAATAACTGCCACCCTGTAGGGTAGAGCCAGGGTTATGTAAAGGGAGTTCAGCTAAGAGTTCAGAGGAAAGAGTGGGTGCAGGAGTGGTTTCTGCTTCCTTCCTTAGGGGTGTCTGAAGGGTCAGTGAGCCCTCAAGTTTGGAGAGAACCACAGGCCAACAGGGCACTGTTACGGGGTCACATCCAGGCAAACTGTCTGGCCCGTGGAACACTCTCATTTTGTTCCCAGGAGATAATGTATCAATAAAATGCATTTGTGGGTTGTTATGGGGGTGAGGACTCAGTATAAAAAGATAGGATACTAGGGGGTAGGCGAGATGGCACAGTGGTTAAGAGTACTTGCTGCTCTTGCAGAGGATCCAGGATCAATTCCTGGCACTCACACGGCAGCTAGCCGTGTTTGTAACTCCAGCCCCAAGGTCTGACACCCTCTATTGACTTCCCTGGGTACCAGGCACAAGACACACATGTTGTTGCATCTACATATACGTAGGCAAACATTCATACACATAAAGTATGCATGAGTAATTTTTTTACAGTTAGGACATGAGTAATAATGCAGCCGGGCTGTGGTGGCACAGGCCTTTAATCCCAGCACTCGGGTCTCTGTGAGTTCGAGGCCAACCTGGTCTATCTACAGAGTGAGTTCCAGGACAGGATATATATACTGCTTCTTCCATTTTGACTGCACCAGAAGGCTCCATGCAGGCCTGCCCTGCTCTAGCTATCTGCCCACAGTGGTTCCTTGGGTTTTCAGAACACAATCTGTACCAGCCTTGGACACAGAGTCTGATGCAGGGCAGACCTGGAATTCAGAGCTGGTAGGGACCAGTAGGGCTGGTGTAGAGACAGTGGCAGTGAGCAGGAGCTTTCATAGGACTGGCACCTCCCCCAGGTATGTGTCCTTCCCGGTGCACTTCTAAATCACACCTTCCAGCGTCAAATATCCAAAGCGTCTGGAGGGGTAGATCCCCGACATTCGAGGTCTTCCTCCCTTGCCCACCTGTGCAGTTGGGTTCCCGCCTCGCGCTCCAGCTGGGCCCACGTCTGGTAGCATTCATCCATCATCCTCACGTAGAAGTCCTCCTGGTAAGCCTTTCTGATTATGCGGCTCTGTCCGTGTGAGCTTCCACGGGAATGCGGAAGAAAGAACTAGAAGCAGGAGGTGAGAGACAAGAGAAGCCACTGCCCTTTGTTCAATCCTCCCTTTGCCCTTTGGGAGCCAGCTCATCTTTCAAATGTTTCTCTTTGCCAGGCGATGGTGGCGCACGCCTTTAATCGCAGCACTCGGGAGGCAGAGGCAGACGGATGTCTGTGAGTTCGAGACCAGCCTGGTCTACAGAGCTAGTTACAGGACAGGCTCCAAAGCCACAGAGAAACCCTGTCTCGAAAAACAAAAACAAAAAACAAAACAAAAAAAAAATGTTTCTCTTTTTCAGATCCTGGGGGTTGAACCTCTGGCCTTGCCCACACTAGGCGAGTGCTGTGCAGCTAAGCCCTAGCTCTCTTTTTACTTTTTATTTTGAGACACGGTCTTGTTATATGGCATAGTCAGGCTTTAAACTTGCAATCCTCCTGCATCAGCTTCCTGAGTACCTGGGATCTGAGTCCCCCATCACCAGGCCTAGCTATTTTCATACGTTTTTATACAATCCTTCCAGTGTCTCCTTGCAGCCCACTGACTGGCCCGGCAATCGGGCCAGCAGCGTCTCAGAAGCCCTGAGTGAGCTCTCCCTTTAAGAAATGACTCTCACAGCCGCTAGCGCTAGCCCCTTTGTTAGCAATCTTCCATTGTGCTCCACCCCAGTTAGACTCCTAGGAGAGCAGAATTAGAAAGAACCTTCCAGATCATGCCTCTCTAGCCCCTTGATTTTATGGATCAGAAGAAAATGCCATCTCACGGAGTCTTCCCGTTACTCGGAATAACTAACTACCTTGGGATTGGTGCTCGGGATGCGGGTGTGTGTGAAGAAAATGGGGAGCTTCCTGAGGGATGTGATAGGAATCCCTTGGGCTCTGGGGAAACGGATAGAGAAATTGAAGGCAATTTCTAACCATTTCAGGAAGAGTAATTGGTAACCAGCTTGGAGAGCTGCAGGCGGAATGGAAAGGGAGAAGCCATGGAAGTAGAAAACCCCAAGTGATGGACGATGTAGGCCCTGCCCCTGAGGGGGTCCTGCAGGTTCCCAGTGCCACCCTCATTTGCAGTAGTCATGTGACCACCTTTCCTTTGAGGAAAAGAAGACCCTAGTCTTAGTTCCTGTGTGTCAAGCAAAGAGGCTGCTATTCCCCAAAGGCAGTGGAATCAACAGAGGCTCCCGCTAGGTTCCGGTAGGAGAGGAGGGAGGGGGGAAATGCAGGAAGAAACCTTTCCTCCGAAGCTGGACCTGAACCAGCCTTTGCTTCTAGGCAAAACCATCTTTATTTAAGGTTACCCAGAGCAGAACTGATTCTTTTTCTGGGTTGGATCAACAGTTTGGGCACAGAAAAGACAGGGTAGCAAGAAAGAAGAGAGATGAGACACTTCTTGCTTGATCCAGGGCAGGAATTGAGAGGCAGTAAAAAGAATATACCAAGAAACTCCATATGGACGACGGTGGAACTTTCCTTTCAATTGTCAAGATTCACGCAAAGTAGCTAAACTAGGAAGTGCACAGAATCCGTGCCGTTCAGCCTTTGACTTCACCCATAGCCTGCAAGTTCTGAAAAGCTCTCCCTAGGTGAGGAAAAAGGAAAAGACAGTCTTGTACAGCAGAAGGGACAGTGTACCTGCTCCAGCAGGAGGACCCTCTTCGAGTGTTTGGCCAGGTGGTATGCAGTGAAGCTGCCCTGGATGCCTGCCCCGATCACAATAGCATCCCAGAGATCTTTCTGAGCAGCCATGATGTCCGTTTAGTCCTTCAGCCACAAATGCATGAAAGAGAAAGCAAACAAAGACTGCCTCCTGGCTAGAGGAGAAGGAAGGCAAAGTTCAGTTTGGCCAGAGTTCCCACAATCCCCTGGTGACCGTGTCCTTGTCTTTCCTTCCCTTCCAAAAGCCTGGCACAGGGCTCAGCCTCTGCCTCCCCTGCGGAGCAGAGCTGGGTAGACTGATTTGTGAGGTTTAGCCCAGCTCAGCTGCCAGCCTCACCCTTGCATCCCTCTAACTTGCTATTCTTGGCTCAATTATTGTCATGCAAATGGGCTCCTTCCTATGCCACCTTCCTGTCTCATTATGATCTTTGTCTCAGGACTTCGGCCCTGGAATTTCAATGCCTCCTAGACCAAGCCGGGCACCGGGAATGCTGCCTCCCCCTGCTGGCTTCCCCCTCTGCAGCTTGATTCCCTCTAGAGATCTACAGGGCCAGCAAAGAACTTGGCAGAATGCCCAGGGTCTGGCCCTCCTCCCTGGTGGGTGGTGAGGTCAGGGGGTAGATGCAGAGGCCAATTGGGAGGGCAGTTTTGTGATTATGAAATCATTCTCAGTGTGTTCTACTTTCATGTTGAAAACAGAGAATAAATGATCCTGGGGGTGGGGTGGGAGGAGGGAGCTGGATAGGACAGTGAGGAGGAACCTTGTCCTCAGGCACACAGGGAACCAGGTGCCAGCCCAGCACACATAGGGGCCATGTGTACTGAAGCCTTCTGTGCCAGGCAGCAGGCTCAATGGGTATTGTTAAAGGCACTGGGGACAGAGCCAGGGTTGGCAGGTCCTGATTCTTACACAATTTGGAGGTCCATTTTAAGATAAAAGGAGAGGGGACTGGAGGCATAGCTCAACGGAAAGTATTGCGTTTAGCATGCTTAAGGTCTCGGGTTCAATCCCCAGCACTAAAAATAAAAGAGAAAAAAAAAATTAATTAAAAAATTAGTCATGCAAAATTAGATGGCAGAATTCCCCCTCTTAGGAGAAACTGCTCAATGAGGGAGCCCTATGGTTGAGGTTTTATTAGCTTCCTGGTAAATTTGCCTCTGAATACATTATCTCATTAAATTCTCATCTTTTTGTGTATTTTTATCCTCATTTTTGGCAGCTTGAAGATAGCCTCAAGTTCTTTGATAGTCTTCCCCCCACCACCACCACTTTCCCGATAGAATGTGGTGACCGCCACACTCTTTCTGGCCTAAGCCTTCGAACAACGTCCTCCTCTTGCCTTGGAGAATGCATTCTTAGACCCTGAACTGCTGTGTTAGAAGTTCAGCCATGGAGACGGCAGATGAAGAAGCCCCAGGATGACACAAAGAGCCACACGTAAGGGAGAAGCCATCTTGGACCTCATGCCTAGGCCAATTGAATGCTAGAGTGACCCAGTCAGAGCCCCATGACCCAACATCACTCAGCCGAGCTGCATCAATATTCCTCGGTTTTATGAGGTAGAATAAAATGTTGTTTTTAAGAAACTAACTTTTGAGAATGATTGTTTATATAGTCATAACTCAAATACCACTACACAGCCCAAGATGGCAGGATCTACCCAAAGCCCCATACCCAGTATACCCAGGTGCTGAGACATGAGCCTAGGCCTGTCTGCTCCGAAATTCACTTGTTCTTGTTATTTCTATTTCTTTTGTGTGTGCAGGGTCTCATGCGTCACTTAACTGCCTTCTAACTTGCTTTGCAGCAGTGGGTGGCCTTGAACTTTTGGTTCTTCTGCCTCTGTCTGCCTCCTGGGAGTATATAGATCCTATCAGCATGTTTGGTTTAAAATGGTGCTGGGGGCTAGGCGGTGGTGGTGAACACCTTTGATCCCACCACTCAGGAGACAGAGGCAGGCAGATTTCTATGAGTTAGAGGTCAGTCTGGTCTTTAGAGTGAGTCCCAGGACAGCCACAGTTCCACCATAGAAATCCCATCTCCAAAAAAAAAAAAAAAAGTGCTAGGATCAAACCCAGGGCTTCGAGCAGACTAGCCACGGACCCTATCAACTGAGCCCCATGCCCAGCCTCAGGACACGTCCCCTTCACCACAGTGTTACTGTGACAATCCACCGGAGTTTAGAGTCAAGTTTCCAATCACAGTGTTTTGCTGTTTTCTGATGGCCACACAAGAAAGAGAGAGAGTGACGTGGTGTGCACATATGACTGCAGGGAGTTGCTTCAGCTCAGCACAGCGGCTGAATGAGGCCCCCAGCAACACTTCTACGCCACAGACAACACCCAGAGTAGCCTTAGCAACCAGCTGTCTTCTGGCCAGCCCTTCCTTCCCTTGGGCATAGGAGCCCAAGGAGGGACTGCCATCTGACTAGATTGTTTTTTTCCCCAAAGAGAAGAAAAAGAAAAATCCTTCTTGAGTCTAAAGGTCACGGCTCTCTGTCTCCCCACCCCACAGAAGTCAGGATAGCATTTGCCCCACCACTGGACAGATCCCTTACAGTAAAATAATAGCAGATATAACCAAGAAAAATATGGTACCCCGCGTGTGTAAGGGCTTGATAGAAATATATAAGATCAGCCCCTGGATTTCTTATAAGATGTCAGCAGAGATGAACAGCTTGCACGCAAGGAAAAGCAGGCAATAAATCCTTGCATGGAAGTGTGCCCAGTTCCACCAGCAGTCAAAGAGAAGGGAATTAAATAACTCTAAGGTACTATTATGTGTCTATTAAATAAACAAAAATAAAAATGATACAACCATATTATGTTGTCCGTGTTGCAGGTAGCAATTCGGATTTGATCCTGTGGAATATTCTGGGGCTACGCACAATAGGATAGAATAGTTTAAATATTCTGCCCTAGAAGTTCTACTTGACGACCACTCCCCTGGGGGAGAAAAAGGCATTGGTATGAAGACATGCATATCTATGCTTTTATAATGTTTAAAAAAAAGAAAGAAAGAAACGATCCAGCAACAGGGAGTAGCTAAGCAAACGCTGACATGTTGACACACTGCAATACCGTCTGGCTATTCCAGATAGCAGGCGCGAGGACCCTGCTTTGTAGAAATGCAGACATGAAACTGATACAGAGACACAGAACACATGACACACACTGATCACAGGCGTGATCTCTGCGCATGCTGATCAAAGATCTAAGAAGAAATGGGTGAGGCAATTGATCTTAACGCTCATTAGGTCCTGGATTCTATAAAAATGGTGCCTCCATTCACAGTTTGTCAAAGAAGGAGAAATCCCTGGGGGACACGGCTGCTTCCCATCTCCCTGGTCACTGGTTCCAGGGCCTGGGAAGTTCTTTCTTTGTTCTAATTGCAGTTCTTCTAGCTACCGACATTGTTCAGTCCTCCAGGGAAGTCACTCTGTATCTCCCCCCCCCTGCCACCTCCCGTTTAATATAATATCCTTTCAGAGATAAAATGTCAATCCCATTTCCCCGTCCCTACTTCACAAGCCTGCCCTGGATTCCTGGACTCAAGCATTCTGCTTCTAGTTAAGAATTTCAAACAGCGGCTCCGCCGAAAGCCGCCACTGGCCACTGCCCAACCTTGAAATGAAAAGCAAATCTGCTTCTAAAGGCTTTTCCTCTCTCACAGAGGATTGCCCGTCCTTGCAAATGTCCTGACAGAAGCAGGCAGAGGGAAGCGATCCCCTCAAATTCCATTTTAACACCCTATTCTGGATCGGAGGACTATTAAAGGGGGAGCCAGCAGCCCTACACCTTGCTGCTTGTGTGTGTCAGCAGTCGCGGCTCGTGTCCTGGGGCACAGGCGCCGAGGGTGTAAGGCTGAACTGCTCATCCGATAGCTTGATTGACACTTTGCAGACAGGGGTGGAAGAAGCGAGCCAGGCAAGCAGCAAGCTTTACAGCTCAGAAATAATGAGAGGACCCGAATGGAGAGAGAGCGTGGAATAAATACGAGAGAACTAGGAGGGAACAGAGAGCCTTCTGCTTTTTTCTTCCCTGCCCCACTTTGCCAAGGAGCTGAAACCTAGGGCCAGGAGGCAGGAAGGCGGGGATGAGTCCTACCCTGAGGGCAGATCCTGCCCCGCTGCTGGGGTGCCTGGGGCCCTGATTGCTCAGAGGACGCCCGAATGTGGGAACGCAAAGAACAGGCTTTGTGAGCGCTTTCCTTGCACATCGCCGACCCACCCGCCGGCTGTTCTATCTCAGGTTGATCGCTGCCCCGACCCCCCAGTTCTGCTCCCCTTAGGTCTGATCATCTACCCATCTCTTTAAATGGCAAATCTGTACAGGTTACCTCCCCGCCCCCGTTAAATTTTTCTTCATAGCTGCCCTTTCCTGCTAGGATAAAAATCTGAACTCCTTAGCTCGGCACACGAGGTGGCTTTCGCTCTGACCTCTGCTGGCTCCCGCAGCTCCACCTCTGATCCTTTCTCTCTGTGCTCTTGGCACCCCAGCCACGCTGAGTGGAGAGAGGTTCCAGCACTCACCTGATTATTTCAAACTCCCAGTCACCCCCAGGCACCCCCAGGCACCCCCAAGCAGATGCAGTCTTTCCTACACTGTCTCCCTATCCTGCAGAGTCCATGCTAACAATAAGCACATTGTGCTGTAATTGTTTGCATGTCTGCCTTCCCCCTACGCCTCTTAAAAGGAGGGAGTCTTCTTTCTATTGTCATTTTTCACAGGTAATACATACACATGGAACAACAGTAAAATGTACAAAAGAGGACACCGTGGAAAGAATCTCCTTTGCCACCTATTCCCAGAGCTCAGTTCGCCTATCAGATGCAACACTGTTTGCTATTGTCTTTTGTGTCCTTTCAGAGATGTTCTGTGAGTATACAAACATGCTTATACAGTATGTACTCCGTGTGTGTGTGTGTGTGTGTGTGTGTGTGTGTGTGTTCCTATATAACACCCTGGCAGTTTCATTTCCTTTATTTTGGCGATCCACATCAATCATAAAGAGCCGGCACATTTGTGTGATGGCTGTGTAGTATACAATGGTATGAAGGAGGCATTTGGCACAGAAACAGTGCTTGTTATAACAGACACCCTGGATTCCCAGGAGTCTCTGACTGTTCTGGTATCGGTGCTCAACAAGGAAGGGTTGCCTCCCTGAGCTGCCCAGGGTAGACTCCTCCTTGAGTTGGTGCATACAGAGGCCCTGGATCTCGCTTCCTGATGTCCCTCTGATTTTGTATTTATTAAAAGGCAGCTATCAGAGTTGACTCTACAGCAGTGAAATCTCTAGGCTGATTCCAGGGATGGGAGATAAATAAAGTCCTGGGAATTTGGACTGACGGCTCTGCGGAAATATTAAATCATCTTTCCGTCTGACAGAGTTGGGACACAACTATAAAAGGACGCTCTTGAGCCTGGCATAGTGACACACACCTGTAATCCAAGCACTCGAGAAGCTAAGGCAGAAGGATCAGAAAGTCCAAGCCATCCTCAGCTACATAGAAAGTTTGAAGTTAGCCTGAGCTTCACAAAGACCCTGTTATCAAGGGGTGGGGAGTATAAAAGACTCTTACTGACCATGGAGGCACAATGGTAGTGGGAGGCTGAGGCAGGAATTCAAGTCCAGCCTGAGATACATAGAAAAACCCAGTCTCCAAGAACTAAGGGCTGGGAATATAGCTGAACAAAAGAACCCTTGACTAGCAGGAACAAAATCCTGCTTGAACCCTGTGCACTGAGGGTTGGGGCATTCTCAGAGTTTACTGGGATAACCAACTTTACTAAAAATGAGGTGGGATTTTCCGCTGCTGTTGTTGTTGTTTTGTTTTTTCAAGAAAGGGTTTTTTTGTGTAGCCCTGGCTGTTCTGGAACTAGCTCTGTAGACCAGGCTGGCCTTGAGAACTCACAGAGATCCACCTGCCTCTGCCTCCCGAGTGCTGGGATTAAAGGCGTGCGCCACCACCATTGTCCAGTTTAGCCTGTTAACATCTTGCTATTTCATTAACTGTTCAAGGCTTTAAAGGTGTCCTTGTTATATAGAATTTTCCATTGTTTACTGGCTTGGTTGGCCTAAATAACCTGGTTTACCATGGCCAGGCTTCCAGCCTTGGTTCTTGTTCAATCACTGAACTTCAGACACATAAACTCTCCAGGATGGCCTCTGTTTATACCGCGCTCACGTTACCCAGTCCCCTTCCTTCCTAGATATCAGTGGTGGAGGAGAACAATGACAATTATCAGCAAAAATGACCACCTTCCTCCTTGGGCAGCAAAAGTGGCAATCTCATCATAACAGCCAACAGGAGTGCTGACTTCATGTGAGGCGGCCAGGCTTCCGCTGGGGACCAGTTTGCATGGACATTGAGGCACCATCCTGAACTGAAATAAGTGCAGGAGGAATCTGGCTGAAGAGATTGCCTTTAGGAAACCACTGTGTTTGATTAAAAGGCCAACGTAGATAAGGAGCAGGTGTAGGCTGTGACCCCAAGGTTGTCTTTAGCTGAGACAGGGTCCTGCTTCCTGTGCATGTTTTGAAGAATGGGGTGCATAATGGCCCACCACCCCAAATGGTACAGAACACCT